TTTTTTTTCAACTAGCTTAATTTTTCCATATTCAAACTCTAAAAACAATCCACTAGGAGATAAAATAATTTATTCTCCAATTTACGTTTTAATCACACCTGTTTTTCCTCCGTTTCATATCAACTTAATTTTTCCATAATTCAAATTCAAATTCTAAAAAACATTCCACTAGGAGATAGAATAATTTATTTCCAATTTATGGCCAACTGAATTAGCCGCAACTAGAATATTCATATCACAGACAAATAAACACAATAAAAAACAGAAAATCACGTATGGAATAAGATAATCCTTTTAATAATTATATTCATATCACAGACAAATAAACATAATAAACAAAATAATTATATTGATATCACAGATAAATAATCCTTCTAATAATTATTTGTTGTTCTTTTCTAGCTAGACCCCTGGCAAGCCAAACTGTATTCCTCTGTCACAAGGGCCAGCTCAAACAATTATTATTATTAATATTATTACACATACAACACTTTGGGTTGTCCAATTCTCACTACATTTTTAGTCTAAAAGTACATATATATTTATATTATAAAATATTATATTGTATTATATATATATATATATATATTTAAAGTATAACATTTGATTTTGGGTATAAAAGTATGTGACTGTTTGACTATTAGAGACTTATTAAACCTTTCAGAATTTTGTGTATTCAATTAGAACATTTAGAGACTTCTGAAAAGTTTACATGTATTCAATTGAAACTTTTAAAGATTTTTTATAAATCTCTAAAAGTCTCATGTATTCAATTAAAATTTTATGATAGTCTCTATATGTCACTTGTCACCCTGTATTCAAAATAGAAAGACTTTATGAGACTTTTTAAATTGTGAGACTTTTAGAGACTTTTCTAACAAAATTATAAAGAGAAAGTCCCACCAGAATTCTCATCAATATTGGAGAGATTTTGCTGGATTTATATGACTCTATTCACACTCCCTTTTTTTTTTCTAACACGATTTTGTATCTCATATCACTTTCATGCTCTATTATTTTTACTCATTTATTTCGATACCTTGTATAATTTTTATTTTCTATCTTGTGAATTTGACTCTTCAAAGGATATATGCTTCCATAGTTTGCACTTGCAAATAATTTATTTGTTCTCTCTTTTTATTTGCCAATGTTTATTTTTAAATATTAAAAATATAATTTTATTTTCTAATAGTTTATTTGTTGATATTGAATTATTTTGAATATTATTGATAACTTTATAAAATACAATTACTGTTTTTCAACAATGTTTGTATTTTTCATAGTTCGACTTGTTGAAACTCGGATTGACTTGCTTGTTTAATAAATCTAAAATCTTAAATAATTTATTCGTAAATAACTCATTCGCGTAACAATGATCAGTTGATACATAATTTTTTAGAGGTATAAAACATTTTTTTTCATTTTTTTTCTTGATATTAGCTATTATGTTTCGTTTATTAATATTTCATTCAAACATAATATTATAACTACAAGTATATAAAAGTCTCAATAAGTTTTAAAAAGTCCGTTATGAAAGTCTTAAAAAATCACTAATAATATTCTTTAAAGGTCTCAAAAAGTCCACCAAATTAATGAAAGTTTTACAAAGTCCACAAAGGTCACCAAATTTAAAAGTTTTAAAAAGTTCTTAAGAATCTCAATTGAATACAACCCTCTAAGAGCATCCACAATGCTTTGGGTCTAATTTTACATATGTGGCATATAAATAGACTTAAGTCTTAAATGACATGGACAAACCCAAGTAAAAAAACTCAAAAGCTATTCAATGCAAAAATAAAATACTAGGTCTAGCATACATGACAACCAATAAAAATGCTCTAATATATTTCATTTATTAAAAGAAAAATTAAATGAGGAATAAATGATGAGTGTTTGGGTTTTGATGTAGGGAAAAGCAGCCGAATGGGAAGATAAAACGATACAAGGAGATACTCTCTCCAGAACACGGGATACTCTCCCAAAAGAAAAACACGATATCTTATTTCATTTCATCTTCAACTCCCGTACATTCTGGCCAGACTGCTAATAAATAGAGTTCAATATCTAGGAGTCCTTAACTTGTCAAACAAGTAACTAAAATATCTTCCTAACCAACTAATCAAGATAATTAAAGAATAATAATAATAATAATAATAATAATAATAATAATAATAATAATAATAATAATAATAATAATAATAATAATAATAATAATCTTCTGCATCAGGTTTGTACTTGGGTCTAAAATAGACTCAAGTGTGGACTAAGTCTCTTTTTTTTTTTATTGCCACATAAGCTAGACTAGGTCCACTTTTAATTGCATTGGGAAACACTTTTTTATAGACTAGGTCTATTTCCTACATGACATGTAATTTTTTTCTAAGAGACCCAAAGCATTGTGGATGCTCTAAGGGGCAGCTTCGCACGCTTCGTAATCTTACATGTAATCTTACATAACAAAATATTATGCTTTGTAATATGGGTTAGATTAACATTATTAATTTTTTTATACCAAATAACTTAGGTTCAGATTATCTTATATACACATATTTAATATATTTAAATCCTTTCATATAAATCTATTTATTATCTTATTTCTATAATGTATATAATCTTACTTTCCAAATTTTGTATTTTGTTCATATTATTCCCTTATGTGTGTTAAATAATTTTTTTTTAAAATAAAATTAATGATGTATATAAATTAGTTTTCAGAATTTACAATAATATTGTCAATTCACTTAGTTATGTATTATAAATTGTTATATATTGTTCTTTATTTATTTTTCTAACATTAACAAAATATATATTTTATTTTTTATTGTACATTTAATTATTTTATCAACCATTCGTGTAGTACACTGTATTAGTTATTAATGTAACAAGTCGGTTGCTAGACAAGACGATACTATCAACACTCAACAGAACAAGCCGGTTGTTAACAAGCATATTATTAGTCATACTTTTCCATGATATTTTCATATTGAAATATCATGCTTGAAAAAATTATAAATAAAAATTTAATATTTTATAATTATAAGTATACATTTTTTAAATCACGATAGATCCTTTACATGATTACACCGTCTTGTACAAGAATGTGTTTTGTTGTGGTTATTATTATTATTATTATTATTATTATTATTATTATTATTATTATTATTATTATTATTATTATTACTATTATTATTATTATTATTATTATTATTATTATTATTATTATTATTATTAAAGCATTTGTGGTATTTAGTTAGCTTAAATAGGCTAATATGGTTAAAAAAAAAAAACCACCAGCAATTAATAATGTAGCCCCCACACCACACATCACTCACCAGTCACCATTAAACATTTAAACCCCTATTTTTTTACTCACTCACTCACATTTCCCAAATCCCTCAGCACAAAACCCCTCCTCAATGGCCACGGCGGCGGCGGCGGTGACCCTTCTCCTCCTCCACCTCGTTCTCCTCGCCTTTCCGACATCCTCGTCGGGCTCCACCATCCACGACCTCCTCAGAAGCCGAGGTTTGCCGGCGGGTCTCTTCCCCAAGAACGGCGTCAGCTCATACGAGCTCGGCCAAGATGGGATTTTGCAGGTGTACTTGGACCGGCCCTGCGTCGCCAAATTCGAGACCAGGGTTTCGTTCGAGAGCCTGGTCAGAGCCAATTTGAGCTATGGCGGGCTCATAGGGGTCGAGGGTTTGTCTCAAGAAGAGCTCTTTTTGTGGCTGCCTGTTAAGGACATCATCGTCTACGATCCTTCATCTGGGCTCATCTTGTTCGACATTGGCGTGGCTCATAAACAGATGTCGCTTTCGTTGTTCGAGGAGCCTCCCATTTGCTATCCTCAAGGTACTCTTTTTTCTTGAAGTTTTGCGTGTTTTTCGAGAAAGTTCTGATTTTTATTTCATTTTCTGATGAGGAATTTGGGGGGCAATGCAGGTGAGCTGTTGGAGGAGAATTTGGAATTGGGGTTTGGGTTTGAAGATAAGAGATGAGGGTGTTTTTTGGAATTTTTTTTTGCTTTTATTTTATTTTTTTCCTTTTATTATTTTTTTATTTTTGCTGATTTTTGTGGGTGTGCCCTCATTTTGCAATGTTTGTGTTCAGAAATGGTGAAGTGGAATGGAAGAGTGATTTTGTAATATAGAAAAAAAAAGAAGATTTTGTAGATTTTGTAAAAATATATGGTTTCCGACTATTAGTGAAGTTTTTAGAAAAAAAATATATCAAACGACGCAATGCACCTTGAGTCGCTACGGAAACAACCTCCTTGTATAATTACAAGAGTAAGGTTTGCGTACAACTGACCCCCTAGACTTCAACCGAATATATTGGGTGTGTTGTTGTTGTTGTATATGGTTACTAACTATTGGGTTTTTGGGGAGATAACAGAGAAGATTTTGGGATTTTCTTAATTTGTGAGTATGATCTCTATTCTGCCTCTGCTGGAACTTATTAATTTTTATTACATTTACAATCTTGAAACTTGGAAATGTATCAAACAAATTAATTTTATTAGAATCTTGAAATTTTTGAGTGCTGAAAGGTAAAAGTTGAATATATAAATTAATTCATTGGTTTTATAATTTAAAAATTGTTATTGATTAAATCAACACATGAAAAAAAACACAGAATGTGACAAAATGTGGATAAGATTTAGGAGCAGGTAATTAAACTTAACCTGCCTTAAACCAGCTAATATGTTATTCTGTTAGCTAAGGAATCAAACTGTTAATGGAGCTCTGAGTCTGACACAGGGCCATATATAACAACAATATCTGAAGTTTTAAATAGTACCTATAAAGGTGGCTGTCTATGTCTTATCAATTCAAAAATAGTAAAAAATTTAAGAGTTCCATACATGTTTCTACATAGCTAGCTGAGTCTTTGAATTGAATGCATATCTGTTTCTATAATGAACATTATTGCCTTGGGGTCCGCGGCTCGGTTAGAATAAATATAATCGTGAGCACGGTTCGGTCGAAAATGAAGAAGTGAAGAGGAAGTTTTTTGCTAATCAGTGATTGAATGTTGGTCTTGGTTTGGACAAAAATGTTAAAAGGATTAAAGGGAAAAAAGAGTTTTCAAATGTGGTTAACAATATCATTTTGTGAGGTACAATTGCAGGTGGATTCAACAGTGGCATGTTTGTTTGTTGTGCTCTCTTTTCAAGTTCCTTGTTGGTTAATCAATTCTAAAACAACAAGTCATAAAAACACACACATATGTATGCAGGACAAGTTACTGTCTGGAAATCATGTACTGTGGGGGCTTAATGTTTCTTAAAGCACCATTATTTGATGTATCAATTCATATATTACTCTCATGGTCCTACTTGGCACATGCTCTCTCTCTCTCCCTCTCCCTCTCTCTCTCTCTCTCTCTCTCTCTCTCTTTCTCTCTCCATCTCTCATTATTTTAGATTTTGTGACTAAGTCCACAGGTCACTAATGCCAAAAGAATTAAACTATGAAGGCAATCTTTACAATTTTGAAAAAAAAAACATATTGGGGTGCTTCTAGAAATACATCACATTTCAGGGTTTATATGCAGTTATAAAACTTCACCTGACCATTTGAAGTGAAATGGGTAACTCATCTGAAAGTAGTGATGCATGTATCAGTTAAGATCAAATCAAGAACCAACACAGCAAACATGAAACAAAGTATGAATATTAATTTAAAATATTCACTGGAAATCATATTATTTCAATCTCTTCGGATTTGATCTTCTCGTGATCATCGCCGTCATCGTCACAATTTGGCTTAATTTGGTATAGTTGGTTGGAATGCTCTTCCACAGAATTTTTATGCCCCTCAATGTAAGTGATAGCGCCTGTTATTGCGGAAACTTCTGATCATCAACAAAATCGACCAAACACGTAAAAACAAGAATGAAATTTAGTTTAGTTAAAGAAAGTCAGATGTTCCTTAAAAGTTAAAACTACTATAAAAGGTCTGATTCTATGTTGTGCATGACCCTTAACTAAGCATATATATTCTAGAAATAGGATTTATCTCTTTGAATATATATATAAGCTATTTTCACAAGAATGACACAAAGTCAATGGGAGCTTTCTTGTTGTGGTCTGTTAGGCATACATTCATACACTGTGGGTAGTTAGTGTGTTTGGGCGTTGGGAGGCTCATCTCTAGCATGAGAGAGAAAGAGAGAGAGTACTCTTCAAGTTGTTAAAAACACACCCTTGAAGTTTGGCCTAATTACAAATAACTTCAAGTGATAATAAAAATAATTATGATTATCAGGTGGGGGCTATTTGTAATGTCTCTAGAAGTTGGTGTCCGTATTTTGACGAAGCAAGCACGGGGCTTTCTCCCGATAAGCACTGCACCGCCTCTGAACCGGAGAGAGGATCTACCTCCATCACCCCCTCTAGCGGTGAGCTGGCCCGCATCGTCTCCAGGATGGGGAACGAGACGTTCTCGGCCTCAGTTTCAGCAATCGATTTTCCTCCTAAAACCACCTCAGAAGGAAAACCCGCCGATCCACCAACTTCTTCGACCCTCCTCGTGGGGTGACGTAGCGAAAGCGTAAACGAAAGGAATAAAATAAGAGAAAAGCTTTCAAATATCTTTATTAATCAAATTCAACCGATTGAAACACATGAGAATTATAAAGTCTTTAAATAGAACCCCTAAAAAGTCCTAATCTTGTCTAACAAGTAAAGGATAATTAAATATCTTTTCTACGAAATAAAAAATTAAAATAATTAAATAATTTTACTAACAAATCTAGGACTAAAATAATAACAATAAATAATAGGAATAAATAATTGAATTAAAGATTCTAAAAATCATGATATCCTCATCTCAATCATTCTCCCCCTCTTTGAAAAGGATTCGACCTAGAATTAGATGCAATCTCATCTTCAATTTCTCCACAATCTCGACCGAATTAATTTTATGGGCTGATAACTTAGTATACTCCTGAGCTAAACAACAAGCCTTCTTTAATGTTTTCGTTGTCAACTTCTCCTTAACATACGCACTACCCCACATGTCAGCCAATGCCCCTCTACGTCCTTAACGGTTTATATTAGTTTTACCCTTTTTGTTGACACNNNNTTGTCATAAAAAAAGAGGCAGATGGTCGACCCCTTGTCATCCAAGAACTCGGCGACTTCCAAGCCGCCAGAGATTTCTGAGTTCTTGACTCGAAAAGAAGCCTCTCATTTGCGATCCTCGACGAAGTTGCCCACGTCTTGTGCCGCCATATTACCAAAAAGACGTACCTCAGATATGGTGACATCAAAGTCACCGTCACTGACAAACGATTGATGCAATCGGGAGTGGGGCACCCCGCGTGTTCCCCGACTGCATCCACCATTTATTCTCCTGCGAAAGCCACATCTTCCATTTGGATCGCGGTTCATTTGCTTGCAGTCGGATCGGATATGCAATTTAGTAATAAAGTTTAGTAACAAAACTTCAGATGAGAATAGTAAGTTTAGTAACATCCCGCAAGACAATTACAGTATTTTTGAAAATAACGTTAAAGTTTTTCGAAAATAAAAAGCAAAAATTTAATTCTAATATTTACAAGTCTAGTTATAAAAGGCGGGGTGTTCCAGTTTGGTATCAGAGCAAGTTAGCGGTTCTGTATACTTAGTAAGTTTTAGAAAAGCATGACCACGCCACGCTCACGTCTCGCCGACTCCAAGGTAAGTCACTTAAACCAGTTTCATTATTGCAAGTGCATGATCATATTGCATGAGATCTTAGGGGCATAGGATCTATCCTCCGATGAGAATGTGAACCCTAGTCAGAATTCTAGAAAGTTGAGCTAAATCCAAACTCTAGACTAAATCAGAACTCTAGCCAGAACTTAGAAGAGTTAATTATAAACCGGAACTCTAGCCAAACAAGATATTTCCGGCAATTCGTTAAGTATAGTGTAGTCCTTTCTTAATCGGCTATACTGTTCTAATCAAATTGTAATTGGCTATCCAGAGTGTCGGCCCGTAGAGCTTCAAACCCACTCGCAGAGCGGGAACATGCCATAGTTGTGGCCCAATTTCGGACATTCACACATGCAGCCTTCACTGGAGAGGAGGGCCCGATGGCCATAGGTGACTGGATTCGCAGGATGGAGCGAATCTTTGGAGTGATGGGTTGTTCCGACCAGCATAAGGTCGCATAAGCCGAGTTTCAGATTGACGGCACAGCCAGAGATTGTTGGAACGACTACTGGCATTTGAGGACGGAGGATGAGCATGATGAGCTGACATGGGATCGGCTCAAGGAGATTTTGGAGGCTAGGGTTTACCCGTGCCATTTTCGCGAAAGGATGGAGCGAGAGTTCTATTCCCTTCAGCAAGGGGGCGCTCGGTGGAGGAGAGCGCGACTTTGCTTGTAAGAGCGAGTTTGCTCGTCACCTCGTAGACACCGAGGAGAAGAAGATAGCCTGTTTCCAGAACGGCCTGAAAAAAGACATTCGTATTCTAATAGCCAGCCATGGGTACTTGGATTACGTTGAGACCGTCGAGCGGGCTTAGCAGATTAAGGCATGCCAGCAGCTGGACGCACCTGCACAACCACTAGCCAGACAGCCAACCGCTATCCAGTCCGCCCTACCTGTGCCACCTCAGCAGGTGCCAAACAAGAACAACAGGAAATGGAGAGCTCACGACGATAAGAGGAACCGCCAACAGAGATCCCCAACACAGGCAACACAACCAGTCCAGTAGTGTAACATCCCGTTATTTATATAGGAAAAATCCCGACTTTTAAAAAAATCAGAGTTTCTTTTTCAAAATTTATTTTTCTTTTCGAAAACAATTTAACGGGCGCTACTCAATTTAGTCATCCAATCATCTAGCTCAAGCCATATCTGAGCCTATGAGAACTCACTTCCCAATTTCCATCACATATACACGAGATAAACATCAAGTCATAATCATAATCTCGTAATCGTAAATAATCCAAAGTCATAATCATAAATATTTCCGTTTGAACCATTCAATGGAAGTTATACT